GCCGGCCCGTGCCGGGGCTGTGCAGCACAACCCAACGCCGGCTGTTTCCCAGAGGAGCTGATGATCTCCCTGTTGGCCTGAGCTTTGCGAGAAGGCTGTGCTGCTCCCAGCCGGGCAGGCAGCCCCCCTCCCACTGAGCTCCACGCAGGGCAGGATCCAGCCTCGCAGGGCGAAAGGGCTGGAGATGGGCTCCAGAGGATGTAGCCATTAATTTTTCAGAGGGAAGAAAGCGCTGTCTTTTCTGTTAGAAGGGAAAAAAGCACCGCCAAAAGCCGCAAAGGTCCATCAAAAAACCACTCAGTGGGACCCTGAGAGCTCCTGACAGCTGGCTGCAGCTTACCAAACGCCCTGGATGCTCATTCATCTGGACACTGGTTTCGGGGGCTGATGCAGGGTGGAGAGCAGAAGCATCTCCCAGCAGATGAAGGACGAGGTCCTCTCGCCGCATCCACAGCCAGTGGTGGAGAACAAAAACTCCCCAAACTGGCACAGCCAAGGGGCAGGGAGGGCGATCCAGCTCCCACGATTCCCAGAGCATCCTGCTTCCAGCTGAAGAAATGCCCACCCAACGGCTGCCCTCCTCCCGCGCGGCTCCGGAAGCATCTCCTACAGCCTGCCCTCCACGGCCTGGCAGGGTTGAGAGTTAAACCCATTACAACAGGGCTGATGAAATTTCATCAGCACGGGATAAGCAAATAAATAACATTAAGCCCACAAAGCGATTCAGTGGGTCAGCACGAGTGAGCCGCCACCTCCCTTAGCTCTCAGCTGCAAAGCTCTCCCAGCAGAATCTGGAATACAGAGGTTCCGTAACCACAGTCCTAGTCACCAGGAATGTCATCCAAAAAGGCATTTACGCCTCTCCGATGGATGCTGAGCTTCATTCTCTCCCTTTTCCCTTTTCATCCATCAGCTAAGAGCAACACTCAGAACCGTGCTGACGATGCACACGGTTCTGGGACAGAGCCCCGGGTTTGGGGTGAAACCAAGAAGCCAAACTGAATTGACTCCGTGCAAACCCCTCCTTATTCTGGTGGGAAAGTCTCAGAAATGACTGAAGAGAATTCAAATCTCATTAAAACTGAACGTTTTGGATTAGACTTTTTAAACAAAAATGGTCAGAAAATTGCACATTTGATAAACTATTTTGAATTTTGAAAAGTCTGTAAGTATAATCCTTTTTTTTTCCCCTCAAGTGGGGGAACGGGAAATCCCTCTTGGGGAAAAAAATGACATTAAGGGGGAAAAAAAGTTCTAAAACACTGTAAGATCAGCCCCACCTGGAAGCAATGGCTCAGTAATGAATAATTACGCGAGGGATCGCTGGGCAGAGATAAACCCTGGCAGCACCCCCTGCCCCACAGATAAAGCACAAACCCCCCGAAGAACCTTATCCGTTCCCAGCAGAACTATTCTTGTTCACCAGGGGCACTATCTAAAAAGCAACCGCCTATCCCGTAAGTAACAGCTCCTCCAAATCTCCCAGTTTTCAAACCCAAAGAGGCGCGCTGAGCAGTCATCCTCAGCCGTGCAACAAGGCAACCGAGGAGGCGAGGAAGGGAGTGAAGTTTTTAGGGCCAGGAGCAGGAGGAACGGGCTGATTCCTGGCCGTGTAGGCTCAGCCCACCCGGTCAGTACCTGGCTCTCCGTACCTGCAGCCTCCTCAGGGCCCAGAACATAAACCCAGTTTGTCTGGTGTCTCAGCCACCCCCCAATGCCAAACGCAACTGTTCTGCCCTTCGCATCAGTGTGGGGATGCGACGCAGGCTGGCACGCAGCGTATTTCACTCCTGGGCTTTCCCGATGATAAAGGGCTGCAAACCAGCGGCCTCCAAGCCTCCAGCTGGTTTGAGTCGAATGTCACAGAATCATAGAACCATGGAACGGTTTGGGTGGGAAGGGACCTTAAAGCCCACCCAGTCCCACCCCCTGCCATGGGCAGGGACACCTTCCACTAGACCAGGTTGCTCCAAGCCTCATCCAGCCTGGCCTTGGACACTTCCAGGGATGGGGCATCCACAGCTTCTCTGGGCAACCTGTCCCAGTGCCTCCCCACCCTCTGCGGGAAGAATTTCTCCCAGAGTACTGCCAACCTCAGACCAGTGTAACCGTGAGAGGAGCAGATATTCCGAAGTGCTGTCACCGGGGTGGGCTGGAGACATGCGTGGATCCATCGGCAGAGCAGAGGGTGGCTGCGGATGCTCTTCTCCACGACCCAGACAGCTAAGTTCAACACTGAGCATCCCGGAGCAACAATCAAGCATTTGAAGAGCATTTCATGGCTGAACTGGGTGCCAGTGCAGCCCCCACAGGCCTGTGTTGTATAAGATGTTAGGGGCTAACAGCCAAACTAGGAATTTACAGCCCAAACACCCCAAAGCATGCAGAATCCAGTAAGGAAAAGCCTTAAG